TGGATGTTGTGGATTCAACATCAATTTGATCAATTCCGAGACGAAGGTTGCAGTGAAAGATATACAGATTGTGAAAGACAAATTAACAGCGTTTGGGTAATTTGTTTGATATATTTGTAATCTTTTTTTCTTCAGTAGTGGATTGATTGGTGGCGTTTCGCCCGTAGTTTTTTAATCACAATTCGAGGTGCTCCAATATTGATTTTTTCCACGTAAAAATCATTTGTGTCTATTTATTGTTTCTGAAATAACAATCTAAATCACTTTCGTACGTGCTTGATGATTTAGATTATGAGTTTTAATTGGTTGGGAATTGGCACAATTAAATCTTGATCTAATCACGAATCACTTAGATTTCTCAATACTATTGGCAAACCTGATCCAAAGTTTAAAGTAAGGCATTTTTTTAGAGGATTGTTGTTAGCACTTAATTGTTTTGGACCTTTCAATTCTCACATTTTTTTATTACAGCTATATCCTGAAATAAAATTATAAGAAAGGACAATTTTTAATGGAACACTCACTCACCAAATAAAGACAATTAAAATGACACTCTACAATATTGAAATCTACCACCACTCTCACATAAGCGTATTCATCACCAACCTAAACCTTAAACGTATTGTTCTTTATCACCATCCTAAACTCTAATCATATTCCTCTTCATCACCATCATAAACTCTGAACCAGAAATCAACAGCTGAAATTCAACGTTCAAGTCGTTTCAAATCGTTACACTATTCATACCACATATCAATTATTTCACCATTCATTGATACTTATAGAGCAATGGAAAACGATGACAACAATTTTGATGAGGTTGGTGTTGCATTGGTAAGTTTATCTATCTTGAATTAATGATTTTTGGTCATTTTTTATGCTACTTGTTTTGTTTGAACTTGCTCAGTACTGATTTGTTGACCGTTAAGGTTTTGTTTGATAACACAGCGTTGAATAAAAAAATTTAGTTTGGTAGATGGGTTCCTAACAGTAATGCAGCCAATTGGCACTAGCATGCCGAACGATTCAACTGAGTAAAGTTTTTTCCCTAGTTGTGTTTTTTCTGAGGGTTTTTCCCTCTAAAACCCCTGTATCGATGGTTATACACCAAAATAAACACAAAAAGGAAAATGTGATAAGGAGTTGGTGGTTGTCTGAGATGAGATTTCTAACAAGCCAAAGAGATTTCCGTCAATCACCTGAGACGACGTCAACTAAGATTTCTAAGTTCACTGGCTTCGTTGACTCCTTGTTCTTCAACAAGAGAGGAGATAAATTTGGGTGGGGTAAATTTAGGTGGGTGTGATGATATTGTGAATAGGAGTAAATTTAATATTAAGTAGAGTTTAAAAAGAAATCTTATTAAATTTAAGTTTTAGGATGATGGTTCAAAGAAATAGGAAGTCTAAAGAAATTAGATAGTTGGAATAACAGCACTCCTTCTTTTATTGTCGCAATAGTAATGTTTTATAAATATATTTGGAGAAAGGAGTTGTTTAATTGTGAGCAACCCATTTTAAAATAGAAAATACGTATCAAGATGATTATAAAAATGTTATTGTTATATCATTCTAATGAAAAACAAAATTAAAATTTTTTATTGATGAGTATTGGAAGTGTAACTGACAATGTAGCCAAAACAAGGGAAGACGTGAACCCGCAATAATATTATCGCGCATGGCCCGAAAATGGTACAACACGTCGCAGTCCAAAATGGGAATAGGGAGCAACAAAGACGCACTCCTATCATCAAGTTCAATATATATATTCTCCAGCACATACATTCAGGATATACAATTCTATTCTACATCATCTTCCTCCGTTTTGTCTCCTCCTGTAACTTAGCCCGAAAGGCCCTTAAAAAGGACACATACCAGTCAGTTCTCAAGAATTTCATTCGCAACTCCAACTATGGACCCGGTTAAACCCGTAAACCCGCCATTTACTGATTGGAGTGCAGCCAACTAGTTTTTCGCTGTTAATGTAAATTGTAAACCACCTACTCCACCTACCACCTCCACTTCACCTACTCCATCTACCACCTCCACTACACCACTCCACCTTCACTTCACATCTCCTATATAATGTACATACAATACACAATCAAAAATCATCAATCAATAATACATCAATATTAACATTCGCTGTGTGTGGTTGAGAGATTTGGGAAAGAATTTGAAAAGAGAAATAAAAAAAATAGGTGAAATGAGAATAAAATATACCTACATTTCACATAATTTTAAGTACCTTTTTTCTTTTCATTTTCAAATCTCTCCCTAAATCTCCCACCTTAAGATTGATATTTGACACACACATTATTGGATTTCTATTAAATACCTCATATATGTACCATAATCAATTTTTTCTAATTGTTGTGGCTTAAAGCTTTAAATGCTGCAAAGATAGTTTCTTGGACAATGCACTGGCCATCACAATTGAAATATTATAGGCTATTTTTTAATATTGAATTTGTTAAGGGAACGAAAATTGTTAATCTAAACAATTGAATTAATTGGACACTTGTACTCTAATAGATAAGAAATAATCCATGTTTGTTTTTTATGAGAATTGATCAGTTGACATTTTACATTTATCCCTTCCTTATTATAGAGCACTTTCTTATATAGATGTAATGGTTGTTCGTGATGGTTCTGCGAGAGCGAGAGTATACATTGTTACACCTCCTTACATGGTTGACTTTTTAATGTAATATTTCTCTTCATATTTGTAAATAATCTCCTACTAATTGATCAAAAAAATTGAGTGTTTGGTTTATGTTTTAAAACATGTCTTTGAAAGAAAATTTTTAAAAACATATTTAGTTATAAATTTTTTCAAAAAATTTCAAAATTACTTCTCTCTATATTATACATCAATCAATCAATTTTTCTCTCTCATCTCTCATTCTCAATCATCTTTTCTCACACACATCTACTCAACTACAATAAAATATCAAATCATCCGAAACTCTCAAACTCCAAAACTATCTTCAAAATATACAACCAAACAAACTAAAAAAATTTCTAAATTCTCTTTCTAAAATTTTTCTAAAAAAATTATCTCACAACACAAACCAAACACACCTAGTCTTCTTGACAAGACTTCCCCTGCTCTGGCTAAAACCTCCAAAGTTTTTTTTTTTTTTATCGGCGCTAAAACCTCCAATGTACCAAAAGAATATAAGAAAAACAAAACTACTTATACAATGAGGTCAAGTTTGGCATGTGCCCAAAAAGTTAAAAAGTTAAAAATTTACTCAAAAAGTTAAAAAGTTATCACTATTCACCAAAAATCAAAAAATATGGTTGCATAACTCCCAATCCTAATTTTTTCCTACACACTAATTTATACAATTTTTTAATACAAATTTTTCTATAAAAAGTCAAAAAATTAACCCAAACAACCATATTTTTTTACTCAACTTTCTAGTCCAAAAAGTCAAAAAATACACTTATTTAGGACATTCCAAACAACCCCTAAGGCCAAGTTTGGCATGGGACCAAAAAGTCAAAAAGTCAAAAAATTACTCAAAAAAATTAAAAACTTATCACTATTCACCAAAAGTCAAAAATTACGACTGCACAACTCTCAATCCTAATTTTTCCCTACCCTAATTTTCCCCTACACACTAATTTATACAATTTTTTAATACACATTTTTTCACAAAAAGTTAAAAAATTAACCCAAACAATCATATTTTTTTCCTCAACTTTTTAGTCCAAAAAGTCAAAAAATACATAGGACATCCCAAACAACCCCAAAGTCTTTATAGATTAAAAGAGAATTTATTGACAACACCCATTCGTATTGTTTTCATTTTCCAAACCAAACCTAAAAGTGGAGGAAAAATTTAAACTCTTCTACTTCATTTTTTTTTTCTTTTTTTTCTTTTTTTTCCTTTGCAAATTCATAATCTAAAACATAACATAAGAGCATCTCCAATGGAGCTGCTATATCAGTTGTCAAAGTTAAAAAATGACAGAAATGGCAAAAATCAGTCTCCAATGGTCTGCTATTTCCCTTGCCAAAGATGGCAGATGCCATATGTGTTCTCAAATATGGCAAGTGAAATAGCAGATGCCAACCTTACCAGATCAGCAAAATCCAACAGAAATTGGCACCAAATTCAGTTGAGAAAATAACAGAATTAATCCAATAGGGAAGCTATTTTCCAAAATCGAACCCAATTTTTACAATCAAGCAAATTTCACTTGAAGACAGATCGTGTATTTATATATATATGATCATTGGAGATGAATACAGCTTGTACATATATATATATGATCAAAATCAAACCCAAAATATATATATATATATATGATCAAACCCATGAACCTCTGCTGACCGTATATATATATATATATATAAATATGTGATCAAAATCAACCCCAAAACATATATATATATATATGATCAAACCCATTAACACATAGCAAACCGTATATATATATATATATATGATCAAAATCAAACCCAAAACATATATATATGTAATATGTATATATGAAGACAGATATTTTTTATGGAGACCAAAACACATAAAGACAGAATTTAAATTGATGGAGATCAAGACAAATCAAAATATATATATATATATATGCAGACAGATCAAAACATATATATATATATATAGATGAAGATCGTACTAGAGACGGAGAGTACACAGATCGGAGGGAGACAGAGTCAAACCAGAGAGAGGGGGTTCCGATCTTGGAGGAGAAGGGAAAGATCGGGTTCCGATCATGGAGGAGAAGGGATTCCGATCTTGGAGGAGGGGGTTTCGATCTTGGAGGAGAAGAGGAGATCGGGTTCCGATCCTGTGCTCTGTTTGGTTTGTGCTCTGTTTAATCTCGGCCATGAAGGAGAAGACACAGTGAGAATGAGAGGGAGATGAAGAGCTGTGGAGGAGATGAGAGGGAGATGAGAGTGAGAAGAGACTGAGATAGATGTATGGGTCAGCGTAAATAAAAGAGCCGTTGGGCTCTGTTTGGTTTGTTCAACCAAAAAAAATAAAAAAAATGAAATTATTTTTTACAACGGCTCTTTAAACGGCTATTTGCCAAACGGTAATAAATTTCATTTCTATAAATTGAAACCTTTCCTTCACTTTTATTTCACACAAATATTTACATTTAATTTTTCTTTTCTCCTCTCCTCTCCTCTCTTCTTTGAATTTAATTTCACAACAAACCTCTTAAATTATATTCTTTTTAGTTTTTTCATCCAATCACTATGGAAGGTTCATCAAAAACAAAGAGAGGAAAATCATTCACCGTTGAAGAAGATATGGCAATTTGTAAATCTTGGTGTCACATTTCGGAAGACCCAATTGTTGGCAATTCGCAATCGTATGCTCACTTTTGGGGAAGAATTTACGAAAATTTTTGCCTGCTTCAGAATGATCAGTCCAGAACACAAGTGTCTATTCAATCTCGATGGGGTATAATCATGAAATGTTCTAACAAATTTCGGGGATGTTTAACACAAGTCGAAAATCTTCACCCAAGTGGGATTTCTCAAGTTGATATAGTAAGTTTTTATTTTCAATTATTATGTTTAGTTTCTTATTCTGGTATCGTATAAAAATTACGTAATTAAATAATGTTTCAATATGAAAACATTTAATTTTTTGGAATATTAAATAATGTTTATTATTTATTATTCAATTATTATTTATTTTATTTAAATAATGTTTTGATTTTCAATTACATTTAATTTTTATCTTCAATTTTTTTTAAACAGATGCTTCAAGCAAAACTTTTATACCATCAAGATGAAAAGAAACATTTTGCTTTTGAACATTGTTGGTCAATCTTGCAAGACAATATCAGGTGGCAAGATGTAACTCCTACGAATACGGTGAAGTCAAGGATACATACACCATTTTCCCCTGATTCAGCCCCCGATTCCCCTATGGATAATTGCATTTCTCTTGAAGATGACACCAGTCCAAGTGTTGGTAACAATCCAACTGTTGGTGAGGGTAGTGTCTCTGCAAGGGGTAAAAGGCCGATGGGTAAGAAATCTGCAAAAGAATTATTTTGGAAAAATCAAGTCGTTCAAGCTGAAGTTCAAAATATGAGCACACAATTGGACACATTTAACCAATTCCTTGCTCAGAAGGAAAAGAAAAAAGATGAAAGAGAACAAAAAAGGATTGAAGCACGGCAAGAGATGAAAGAACTTGAGATGAAAAAACATGAATTTGAGATCAGAAAACAAGAACATGAGATGAAAAAGGAAGAACATATGATAATGACTAAGGATATTTCTCATTTGGACCATCAGATGAAAGCGTATTACACAATGCGAAAAAATGAGATTTTCGCCAAGTGGTCCTCAAATGTGAACAGCCCAAATTTTTATTTCCCCCTACCTCCTGATGAATAATTACGGGATAAATGTTAGTCTTTATTTTTTGCAATATCATTTATTTTTTGATGTAATTGTTAGCCTTTTTTTATGTAATTATGGGGTGAATTAATCAAAGAAAATTTTTTTTTTCAATTTTTCAATTTTTTTTTTATATATTTGTCTAGTTGGAAATAATATAAATATATAATTTTTTTAACAAACAGATAAAAAAATGTCACAAAAGACAAAAAATAAATAAAAATAAAATCACAAAAAACCTATATCCAAACAACACCTCCAAAGTTGGAGGGAAAGTTGATTAAGATTTGCCAAAAATAGCAAATGACCATTGGAGCATCATTGCTATAATTTGACAAAATAACACTATTTATTGTCAAATTATAGCAATAGCAACCCCAATATAGCAACAACCATTGGAGATGCTCTAAGAAATACAGTCATAGCATCACACCAGTTTCCCTTTCACCATCCCAATTAAATCATGTATGGCATAGATATCTCGCATCCAACAATAACTGACACAAATACAGACACTATCACAATCTCAGCATCACCATTTTTTGAGGATCCAAAAGAAATAAAATTGACACTATAATTAAAAGTAAGGTACAAAATCAGCCACCTCGCTGACAAAAACAAAAAAACAAAATCAGCCACCTCTACTCAAGGAGGCCTTAGCGGGAACATGAGCTGAATTAACAGCTTGCCAATGAACCTACCTCAGTGACAAGTACTTTGTAGAAGCTAGTACATACAGCTTAGATTTCTTGCATACTGATCCCCAGCCGAAGAGCTTGAACAAAGCATAAAGCTATCTGCTCGTATATCAACACCGGTAAAGCTTGAACAAAGCATAAAGCTATCTGTTCGTATATCAACACCGGTAAGCCCCGCCAGTGCCAGCAATATTCAAACAAGCCCTTGCCTCTGCCATCAAAGCCAATGATGCATATAAGCCAAAACTGCCCTGACCAACAGTCAGTCCTTTGACATCGTACATTTTTGTTTGTTTTGCAAAGAGTTGGGGAAGAGCAGAATGAACCATGAAAAAATAGAGCAAGACTTGGAGAAGACACCACAGTTATATATTTACACACACCACAATTGGCTATGCCAAATCAACTGAGTGACCATTTTCACTTTTCAGTAAAACAAGCTCATCAATGTTTCTCACGCATTGAAAAATTCAAATACCAATATCTCCACGATCAAACAAAATTCGACTGAACCCAGATTGCTATAAATGTGGAATCAGATGAAGATTCATGGCTGCATAATAAAATTCCATTTCTCACAATGTGAAAATCAAATGTCAGATTATTCTATTTTGGAACAAAAAATTACTGAACACGAATTGCTAACAGCCTTTGTAATGCCCGTCCATAATATCGAGTAAAGCTTCATGAAGTACAAGGGCCATCCTGACATAACACCTGTGCCCGCAAGACGGGGAAAATAAAATAAAATAAAGATAAAATAAAATAAAATGCAAAAAGCAGACAGATAAATAGATAGAGAAACTTGAACTAGAAATGCATTACATATTAACACGAGATGCTTGTTATGCAAAAGAAATACAAACACAGCTAAGTTATATAACCTTTTGTGTCACATCATCTTCCACCAGACAGCTCAATAGCATCCTGATTATAAATTGAATCTTCTCCCCAATCGAATCTTCTGTGCAGTCTCTCATACTCTTGCCTGCGGTTGACTTCTACATGCTGCCATTCTTCCCACCTCTCAGCCAGTCCCTCTCCTTCCAGCATCCGAACCACCTCTGACATTGTAGGGCGGTCCTCAGGCGATGATTGGGTACAGAGTAATGCAACCTGAATCATCATCTCCACTTCTTCAATGTTGCAGCTCTTGTTTAGGTTGCGGTCCACAATAGCATCCAGTCTTTTCTCCCTTTCCAGTTTCTTGACCTTCATGAAAATATAAGCTGATTTTAGCAGACAGTACACAACAAAAGAGGCCAGGACAACCAAAGAACTAGAAACAATGGAAGCAGGGAATTATGGCATTCAAAACCACATGGAAGTCCAATATTCCAAGTTTAATTTCCACAGGATCAGCAACACGTCTGTCATGTTAAATCAAATGGCTACCCTAAAAAAATGTGTAGTAGTTCCCTTTTTCTAAGAAATCAGCAACCAAAGCATCTCACCTCATCATATTTGAACGTCTGAGAGTATACAAGTGTTAATAGAAACATGAAAGCACATTAAAGACAATATGAAAACCTATGAAGCCATCGTAGCTGTGTCTCCCACATGTTGGACCCACACGCCAGGACACAAGGCATAGGGACGCACCACAGACACTCTTGTCATGCCTCCGAACACACCATAGGAAATGTTTGACTTCTTGTGATTATTTATTTTTTATGGATGCTCTATTCATTATTAAATTAAATGCCCTTTAACATTTTTGATGTAATTGTTTATGATAGACAAAATAGTATTTTGTATGTTGAATGAAGTTCAAATTATAGAGTAATTTTTCATGTTAGATTAGTTAGCTTTTCATTATTTTTGGTTGGTTGTCAGCGTAATAATATTTATATACATACAAAATAAAAATATATAAATAATTTAAGTTTGGGATATCCCTCCAGTGTCTGTGTCCTATTTTTTTAAAAATCACCATGTCCCGTGATCTTGTTTGTTTCCATATCCATCAGATGAAAACAGTTGAAGTATAAACAAAATTGAAATTTTCTTTTATTTCATGCAACCTCTCAAGAAGAGTAAAATGAGCTCAACATTGACAAAGTTCATTGCCAATGTTGAAGCAAGGGAGTACAGAAAGCAACATCATGCATTACTAGTGGCAACAAAGATGCTAATATATATATATATGTGTGTGTGTGTGTGTGTGTGTTTTTCTACAGATAATTTCGAGAAAGCATAACAAGATATCTATTTCAACAAATAATACTAATTCACCTCCTCAACTGTAGTACGTAGTCCTAGCACAGACACACCTCCTAGCATGTCATGTCCATGTCCATGCCCAACATATGTCGGACACCAACACTCACTAGACATACGGCAACAAATGTGAGACATGCATCTGAACATGGTCAATTATTTTTATAAAATTTAAATTAAATTAAATCAAACACATTGGAGCACACATGTCTACGACTTAGTCACACATGCAAGACACTTCTAAGATCTAACAAGTTTGAAGAAACTGGAGGCCAAATTTAAAAGTTCACAAAAAAGGTAATATGGTACTATATATACAAAACCCTCCTTTAGGCTTTATCATATTTGAAAACCTAAAACCCTACAACTTCCAATTTGTCTTGTATTTGTATATACTCAATACATATGAAAAATAAGAAATTACAGCTTCTTTTCCAATGAATTATTTGTTATGATTATCCTAAAACAATAAAAATTTATTTGTCATATAAAAGATGAATAATTTTCATATTTACATAGTTAAAAAATATAAATATATAATCTATTTGTTTTAATTTTCATATGTACGTAGATAAATAAATAAATAAATAAATATTTTTTTATTTATCACCGCACCTGTGTCCGGAATTTTTAGAATTGCCTGTCAGCGTGTTAGTATTATGTCATGTCCCGTGTCTATGTTCATATTAGTGCTTTTTAGACAGCCACCTCACGCCCAAAATTACAGTATCTTATACCCTACTGGAAGGCAGACAATGAAGATGGCATATCAAAGTTATCTTACATGGTCAAGTAATAAAACATCATCTTCTTCTTCCAGGCGTGAAAAGTCTATCGCTCGTTGACCTGTGACAAGCTCCAAAAGCATGATCCCGTAACCAAAAACATCTGTCCTTTCTGATGACTTCCCAGTGGACAAGTATTCAGGTGCTATGTGACCCATTGTCCCACGAACTTGAGTTGTCACATTAGTCTTCCTCACATCCACTAACTTTGCCAGGCCAAAGTCGCCAACAACAGCTTCAAAATCTTCGTCCAGTAACACATTAGCAGCCTTAACATCCCGATGGATAATTTTGGGATTACAATGTTCATGAAGGTACTCTAGCCCACGAGCTGTGCCTAAAGCCACTCGTTTTCTTGTAGGCCAATCTAAAACAGGCTCCCCAGGCTTAAGCTCTGCATTTTGAGTTTAAAACTAATCAAACATCACCAGAAAATCAATTAAAAAATTAAATGATCACCAAAATCACACAAAAATAATAGCCATTAAAATATATAAATTCTCAAGTTTAAAGAAAGGCTTTCTATAAGGTCCACACAACCCATGAGGGCCATGACCCACAAATGTATGATTGCTGGAACATTTCTGCTTTTTCCTCAAGTATAAAAATAGAACTAGATCAAAAAATCAGATAAAGGTGATGATGATATGAAATCCTCTTGATTTATGTTATTTCCACCGTAGTTACAAACAAGGGCATATACCAAGTTGCATACCATTGAATTCCTAGTTCAGATTATGCCAATTGAATCAAGGATTTGAGAAGCCTACCCCATAAATCTGATTCCCATGTTTTCCACTCTTCTTTCCTTTTCCTCTTTCAGTTACGAAGACATCAAACTAGTACAAATTCAGTATTGTATCAGTAATAGACTGCAAAAAGCATTTTTCTTATCTCTATTGAACATATTGGCAAGTGCATACCAACAGTTACATCAATCATGTTCCTGTTGCTTTTTTACCTTGAGATTCCTTTGAGATAGTATGAAACCACCAAAACTTAGCCAAGGAGTCATACATCAGTACAATGAGGTGGCTTATTCAAAGGTTTATAAATGAAATTGATTTATGAAATGGTTTATCCTATGATAAAATAATCCCGCATTTGGTTCAAATTTTGTAATCCAGGATAAACCTTTTATCCCACATACGCGAGATTATTGGGGTAGGACAACTTATCCTGAGATAACAATTTTGTTGCCAAATTTCAAAAATTCCTTCCACGGGGTAACGTATCGTTCTTAATCCTGTCAACGAATCAAACGTAGCCTAAGGGTATGCTTGCTGTCCCAAACACAAAAAAGTGGAGGATATGGATGAGTATCACAGTTAATCTGCATTCAATCCTTAGGCCTCGTTTGGGAATCCTCATTTTTAGCCAAAAAGCCAAAAAGTTACTAAATTAGCCAAAAAGCCAACAACCCATACCAAAAAGTCAAAGATTCTCTTTTCTCTCTACTTTTGCACATCTTTTCATAAAAAGTCAAAAAGTCATCCCAAACATACTAGTTTTTTTTAGCTCATATTTTAGCTAAATAACCAAAAAGTTACTAAATTAGCCTGTTCCCAAACGAGGCCTTACTTTCCTATTTTCTCCCATTTTTTATTTAGAAAGTAAAAGTCAACAAAAATCCCTGCAGGGTGAAGAAGCGATAACATAGTGCTCATTTGTGTCATGCATATATCCTAGAAATAGTGCTAATTGTATTATGGGTATATCCTAGAGCTAGTGCTGTTGCAACTAAGGGATATAAAACTGCCAAATGTGGGAGATGTGTCACTAAATTTAAACCCGCAAAAATCTTTGTCCCCTCTGTTGGCTACATCAAACTATTTTTCTGTAGTCAGCTCTCTCTACTGCCAAATCCTCCCTTAAATCCATGGAAATCATGTTTTTCTCTTGCAATTTCAACCTCTCTCATGGTTTGGTTTGTTCTTTTGATGCCTTCAAATTCAAATTAAATCGGTCCCCACATGAAACCATACATTGGTCAAATGACTAAACCATCTTAGAAGAAAAAATATCCTTCCTCCAGCTTGTTCGAAGAGAGAGGTAATCTTCTCACTATGTCACTGATAGGTACCACATCCAACTTCTCACAAAAACTATTTACGAATTCAATTTTTTTGCTATATTGCTGCTAATTAATATCAATGTCTCATTTTTGCAATGCTACTTTTTGACATGTTCCTTGACACCCTAAACATCATTTATTTAAAATAGCAACTTTATATGATATTATGATGCTTATAGAACTTCCCCTTGAACTTGGCATTCATATTCATACGACACTTAGAGGTAATTCTTAACTTCGCTTATTTGCTAGAATATACTGACACTGTAGGGTTACACCAAAGATCTACCTAAAATCCTTATCCTTTTACTTTAGTTATGAATGAGTTGACGAGAAATATTCGGGATGACATGTCATGGTCTATACTTTTTGCAGATGATATCGTGTTTGTGGATGAGACTAGAGAAGGAGTTAATATAAAGTTGAAGATTTGGAGAAAAACACTTGAATCTAAAGGATTCGGGATAAGCAGAACTAAGACATATAAATTTAGTAACAGTAACAATGAAAGCAGAGGAGAAGTGAAGATTGAGAACCAAAAACTGCCTAAAAGTGAACATTTTCATTATTTAGGATCGATTATCACAACTGCGGGGGAGATGGATGCGAATGTGGCCCATAAAATTAAGACGGGATGGCTTAAGTGGAGAAGTGCGTCTGGGGTATAGTGCGATAAATGAATACCCACTAGACTAAAAGCTAAGTTCTATAGAATGGCTATTAGACCGGCGATGTTATATGGGATGGAGTGTTAGGCAACCAAGAAATAACATGTAGATAAGATGAGTGTTGCTGAGACGAAGATGCTAAAGTGGATGTGTAGCAAGACTAGACAAGACAAGGCAAGGCAAGACAAAATTAGGAATGAGTATATTCGGGAATGGATAGGAGTGGCACCGATAGAAGATAAGTTGAGAAAGAATCGATTGAGATGGTTTGGTCATATTTAACGGAGACTAATAAAGACAGCAGTGAAGAGATGCGATACAGTGGCGGTAGATGAAAATGTTAGGGGACCAGGTAGGCTTAGTTTAACGTTGGCTAGCGTTATAAATAGAGATATGGATCTACTTAATTTGACTAACAAAATGGTATTTGATAGAGCAGCGTGGAGAAGAAGGATTTATGTAGCCGATCCCATTTGATAAGACTTAAGACTTGGTTTGGTATGCCTAATTCAGGATATCGTAAAACAATTAAAAATTGAATTATTTGTACACTAGACTGGTTCAGCCAGGTCAACCAGTAATTAAATTGGTTGATCCACCATTTGATATATGTTTACTCATCTCTCCAATTCTTTTTCCCAAGATAATTACTATTTTATCATACATAATTTATAGTGTAAATTATCTGATCCTTCCTGAGCCGCCACATTTTCTCTCGCAAAAATGTTCTACATAGAAGAATAAAAAGGGTGACTCGATGTACAAGGCTTCCCGCTAAAGATGCAGGAAGCGCAAGATGTGCACAACCATACCCCCATTTCTAGAGAGATTGCTTCCGTGTCTCGAACCCATGCTACCAAGGATGCTGACGGCAAGCCTTACCATGGGCCAAGCTGCCTTTGCACATAGAAGAATACAGCACCGAAATCTTTCTTCTTTTTTCGTAACTTACAATCAATAGCCTAAGTACAAAGAAAAAAAATTCTATTGCGACCTTTTCCTTGCATTAAACAAACTCAAAACTGTGTTGTTAAATGAATTTAGCTTGGTTCCAACTCTATCCCTAAAAAACATTGTCTCATGTGACTCCCAAGTGTGGTAGCAGAATACATGCTCTGCAGTTTTTAGCATCACAGGCACCACTTAATGTAGCCTTGAACATCACCCTTCTGAGTAAATGATCCAAAGTGCTTCTCCTCCATTTATGAGACACCTTTTTAAGTCTTTTGGATCTTGTTAAATAAATCAGTCACCAAACTACACAATCATCACCCATAGAGTCCAGAAATTCTGTGGGAGTTCCTTTGGACACTACAGCCTTCACTTTTTAGATTTCTTTCATTATATACAATTACTTATTACTCAAAACGTGGGCCCTTCATAAAAGATATAATAAATAAAAAGCAAGAAATAAGGCCATATATAAATACCTATCATCATGCTGCCGCACTAGTCACAAGGCACCCCCCCAAAAAAAAGAGGAAAGGATTTCTATTAGCATCTCTTATTCAAATAAATATATCAAAGAACAAGTACCTCGTAGACGGGAAGCCACACTTAAGTTCTGCATGAAGGGATACACCAAAAGGCGTTCTGTTGGTGTTGAGCAGAACCCAATCAGACGTAATAGATTCCTGTGAACAGCTACACTTATCATCTCAACTTCACGCTGGAATGCTGCATCTCCACCAGGACTCTCATAGTCATTTAGTCGTTTCACAGCCACTTTAGTATTATCTGAAAGCACTCCTTTATAAACCTTTCCAAAACCCCCCTTTCCAAGGAACCTCGTAGACGGGAGGCCACACTTAAGTTCTGCATGAAGGGATACACCAAAAGGCGTTCTGTTGGTGTTGAGCAGAACCCAATCAAACGTAATAGATTCCTGTGAACAGCTACACTTATCATCTCAACTTCACGCTGGAATGCTGCATCTCCACCAGGACTCTCATAGTCATTTAGTCGTTTCACAGCCACTTTAGTATTATCTGAAAGCACTCCTTTATAAACCTTTCCAAAACCCCCCTTTCCAAGGACATTTTTCTCATTAAAGTTGTCTGTAGCTAGTTGTAATTCTCGCCAAGCAAATCTTCTCAATTGGCCAAATGCAATTCTTCTGTCAACTTCACCTGAGCATACAAGTAAAAAGAATCCACCAGTAAATTACCAGAAAACCCAAGTCACAACAAAATCAATACCTCAATTATATATCTACCAGAGATTTAGAATTAATGAGAAAGCTAGAGGTTATACACATTGACAAGATAATATATCAAACACTGAAGAACTAACGAAAATATAATGCGCCAAGAAAAGGAAATTATGAACTATAAACTATGCTAATAAAATTTCAAAATTTAACTGATAATATTTCTTTGGCATTGTTTCATTAAATCCAATATTTATATACTAATAAGTATTTTCTGCTTTTCTCCAAAGAATCCAATCTGCCTCTAGATATCAAAGATGCTTCAATAATTGATTAGGGAAAAATATTAAATAAACCTAATAAACAGCAAACTATTTTACATTCACTCGTACCTGATTTATACAAAATAAATTTATGATTTTTCAAGCTTTTAGGCAGCCCACGCAAAGAATTAATGCAAAGAAGGAAGATAAAATGCAGTACATAAAGTTGTAACTCACTAATCATTCCACATGCTAGTTGACCTGAAAATAAATATAAGGTTAATGGTATTTCTTGAAAGCTGCCAGCAAAACCACCTGGGCCTTCAAATTCTTTCCTTTCCCAAATAAAAATTAGTGGTTACTCCATAGTGTCAGTTTAAACTTCACAACCAACTGGACAGTTTTCACTAACTGCTAACCAGTATTGGCCAAGGTTTGTGGCAGGTTCCCTCTCCCGCAACTAGTAGTCATCTCAGGATTTTGGCAACAATTAATCTAGAGATGTTATCAAGCAGAAAACCAGTCACCAAATAATCTCAAATTTGATTCACTGGATCACAAATTTGATCCATAAATCTGACACCTAAAATATGAAATTAAGGCTAAAATTCTAGTTTTGGTCCCTAAAGTATCCATCATGAAACCAAAAGCAAGAAAAAAAAAAAGAAAAAAGAAAAAAAGAAAAAAGAAAAGAAAAGAAAAGTAGGTTTGTGAACAGAACAGGTTTAAACTAGATAAAGGCACAGAGAAACCAGACTGTAAAAACATTTGAGTACCATCTCATGCAGTGATGATTATTTGGGGTTAGAAAATAGTTTTGCATTTTATCAGATATGACCACCTATAATCCAGCCAGTTGAACATTTAGTAGCATTGGCATTTAATCTATTCCTAATCCTAAACTAACCTGCAACATCTACAAAAACTTCACGTTTGAATCGCTTATGCCTGCTCATCCACCAAAGTAACAGCATGCTTCCAAGAAGAAGAAGACCTAGAAGTCCAATAACAATTCCAACTATAGTTCCAATCTTTGGATTATGAGAAGAACCTGCTAACACAACCAAGTCAAAAATAAGCATGCCCATGAAGGGGAAAATTGTGCAGATGCACATTTTTCCAATATCATAAAGCAAAGTTGAGTGAAAAAGAATATTCCATTACCACCATTGTCAGATGCACAAGAATGGGAAAAATTTATCCCACAATTCAAATGGGTCATTGTAAAACTGAAATAAGCAACAGAAGACCAATCAATTTCAATGCAGATGAACATGTCAGAGAAAGAGAGTTAAGTAGCAATTCAGTGGAAAGATTGGTGCGGACTGTCTGAAATAGAAGCTGATATCATTGGGGGAAAAAATGTTGCTCATACTTGTATTTTGAAACTTGGAATAATTGCTCAGGTATTTGACCACTTAGTCCATTCGAAGCAAGCTGACTGTAAAGGAAGTTTCAATTATGCCATCAGAAGCTTGCAAAAGGTGTCTGATTGTAGAACTTCACATGGGATAATTTACCATAACTCTAATTGTAGAAACAATTTAACTCAAATAAATCATAAATTTGATGTGAACAATGAGATTTAATCCCAATCACTTACAGATTGATTAAGTTTGGAAGAAGAGAGAGTGAATCAGGAATAGCACCTGTGAGATTGTTTTGATTCAAATACCTGCTCACATAATCAATTAAATTGAACTTCTACTGATAAACGTGCTAACAAATAAAGTTCTATGGAAATACTGATGTAATGCAGACAGTGTTACGTACAGAAACTGAAGCTTCTTGAGATTGCCAAGAGAAGATGGTATTTCACCAGTTAAACGGTTATTTTCCAAATCCAACATTGTCAAGCTTGTCAAATTTCCAAACTCTATCGGAATCGGGCCAGTTATGGAATTTCCTTGCAAAGAACTGCATGATGAATCCATTGACATGTATCAACTAATCATAATTAAACATGCGTATGGAGGACATAAGAATTACTAATTTGCATATTGTCGCTAGACATAGGAAAGGGATTCATTCAAAAGTACATAACAATAAGTATTTTGAACCTCAGGGGGACATATGCCAGTACTAGCCTAGTACCAAGAAGGTTTTTGCCTAGCAAATATGGAGTTGTTGCGAACTCACAGACAATCAAACCAAAGATCAGTGTGCAAGTCAGAAAGAGAAATTTAATTCAGCGACAGAATATCTCCAGTCCCTCGTAATTTTAACTGAAAATCCATTTACAGCACCCTAAAATATGCTATTTCTCAAAAACTAATTGATTTTCATGTATAGATCAACCCTAAATGTCAAAAAATAAAGCCCATCAGCCACTATTAGTCTTGCCCTAAGAAGCACAGACACTTCTAAGAAGGTGGTGTGTCGTGTCAGACACCAACACAACATTGGCTGGACACTTCCCAACAACTATCGGACACACGTCCAAAAATGTCCAACGATTTTCAAAAAATTTCTAAACTTGGACACACTTCAGACACTTCGGGAACATGTATCTATCACTTAAAACACAAATGAAAAACATTACAATTTTGAATAAAATAAGTTTGAATCCAATAAAAGAAAATAACACAAATTTATAGCTACCTCATCATTTAACAATTATTATCTTTAAATTGAATATTCTTATATATGACATATAATATTTATATTTATATTTATATATGTCACATATTAAATATATAAAACTATAAATTTTGCTTGCATCCTCCATGTGTCATGTCCTACATTTTTTGAAAAAATTTACATCCATGCCGTGTCTAGTCAATGAAGAATCAAAAAGATAAAAAATAAAAGTAAAAACTAAACAAATAAAAAAAAGGTAAATTACGATGACCTCCATTGACGTTTTTGACTAATACACTGACCCCGGTAGTTCTGGAAATTACAACCCGCTCCCTAAGGTTACGAGTCACATTATAATTTTTCCTTTTGTTAGTCGATTGTTAGGTCAACTAATAAGTTGTGCTGATGTCAGCAATCAAAATTTTCAAAATACTAATTTTAACCTCAAGAATGGCCAAACTTTAACCCCTCCTCTTCTTTTCCCTTTTTCCAACCAAACTCTTTGCAACTACCGTCACCATGACTACTAGCACACTAGAACTACCATGGCTACCAAAACTCTTCACAAGCCCAAATCACAAACCCACTAACAAATCATCTCTAAAACCATATCTATGTTCGATATACTCTTGTAAATTTGCAAAGTACCATTATCAAACACTATAATACTTGGATAAGGGTATGGGATATGTGTCCAATAAGCCTAGTTGGAGATGCACCCAACAACTGTATAAAAATAGTTAAATTATCATAGGACTGTGCACGAGACTTCTATTTTATACATGAAATGCTATATTTTAGTTTTTAAGATCATCCAAATCAGGGGCATTTTAACCTTCGCATCAAACCAAAATAGTAAGGATATGTTTGTTCGGAAATCTTAGAATTAGACATTACATTATAAAAGTGTACTCATGCATTTTTTTCGTTATGACGTTGTCATTAGTGTTTTTAAAGGCTCAAGGCACACCAAGAAGCCGAAGGTCTAATGAGGCTTAAGCGCAAGGTGAGGTACTCGCTTCACTGAAATGAGGCCCACCTTATTAATAAAAAATAGATAAATTAACATAGACTACGAATTCAAACTTCAACATAAGCAAAATAAAAGAATTCACAACTTATAATATGCACTAAATCAAAGAATTAAAAAAATAAATAAAACTACTAAGGCAACTTGTAGAAGAATTCCCAACCCCATAAAAGTATATATCATTCCAAATGCAAAATGATCAACATTCAAGTTTCAACCAAAAATTTAAGTTTAAACATCTCAAAACATCAAAAGCAAATTAAAGAACCAAACATCAAACATAAATATCCACCAAACACTAATAAAAAAAAAAATTTAAAAAAAGGGGTATCAAAACAAACACAAATATCAAGCAAAGTGTTTTTTTTTGTGTGTGTGTGTGTGTGTGTGTGTGTATTTGAGAGCTTTAAAACCTGTAGCAGCATATATAAGTGTATCATGGTACCCAAAACAAAAAAACAAAAAAAAAAAAGAGTAAAATCAATGTCTAGTATTAAAACAAAAACCAAAAGGCAGAACATAAATGAAGCGCACTACTTTTGCACCTCGAGCGCTTCTTCGAATGGGTTGCTACTCTACAAGCTGTTTTTCGCTCCGCCTTGCACTTAAGTGAGCGCCTTTTACAACACTGGTTGTCTTTATTTAGAATTAATCTATTCATACTTCAGTCCATGGATTATTTGGGTGGGAATTTACTTTTTGAGGGTAACTTAGACAAATTTCCCTAAATTTCTAGGTAGAGCACTTCATTGATTAAAAGAGGAATATAAATAAGGAAGACTAAGTTATGTCTCAAGAGCTCGAATGATACAACTATAAACATAAAATGTAGGTCAGCCCTCTACAAAGTTGATGATGGTTGTTTTCATACATGTCAATTTGTAGGTCAAGCAATGATTCGATGTTGAAAGTTGATTGTTGATTCCCAACTGTTAGCAAACTCGCTGATTATTAGAGGATTGAGCCAATACATTAGTTGTATAAATGTGCACATCATAAACTTGGTTTCCAATCAAGTTTGGCCTTGTCTAAAAATATTTATTTATTTGTTGTTGTGTCCTTGCCATGTTGCCTCCCGATTTTTTTTACAATTGTCGTGTCAGCGTGACCGTATTGTTTCATATCCATATCATGTATCCATATCCATGCTCCCTAGATGGTTAGTGAAACATATATATGCACTATTTGACAAACATCATGGCTCACAGTATTCACAAATTTTGTAAAAAGTTTCAATTTACAAATTACAATAATGTGATGGTATTGAAGTATTACAGATGTTTATAATAGTCTATATCAGAGTAATGGATGCCAAGAAAAAAGGTCTTCAAAGTAGAATACAAGGGAAAAGTGCAAAAGCAATTTCACTAAGGCAACTCTACTAGACAAATTTCATGCATTGTTGACATATACTTTAACAGAGTCTCACAGAGCCACCTCCAAAATGTGTAACACACAAAATGCAGACAAAACCATATGAGAAAGCAATGGAGATACTAATAATAACAAGGCTTAAAATGAGGGTGCAATAATCACCAAGATTGCTATTCTCGAAGAGTCAAATCAATTGAATTATTATTTCATTTAACTTCAGTTGTGACTTAACTTTCACTCGAATTAGTGGCTTGATGTGTCCAGCAATGTTATCTCGGACAGTCCAAACCTTAAGTCCCATCAAATGGGGTCGACTACATGAATCCTTCTTCTCCATGGGACCCTATCAAAGGCCATTTCGTTAGTCAAATTAAGTAGATCCATATCTCTATTTACCAAGCTAGCCAACATTAATCTATGCCTACCCGTCTCCTAACACTTTCATTTACCGTTACAGCATCGCAGCTCTTCACTACCGCCTCTATTAGTCTCCGTTGAATGGGACCAAACTATCTCAATCGATTCTCTCTCAACTTATCTTCTATCGGTGCTACTCCTACCCATTCCCGAATACACTCATTCCTAATTTTGTCTTGTCTAGTTTTGCCACACATCCACCTGAGCATCCTCATCTCAACCACACTCATCTTATTTACATGTTGTTTCTTGGTTGCCCAACACTCTGTCCCATACAACATCGCTGGTCTAATAGCTATTCTATAGAACTTACCTTTTAGTCTAATGGGTATTCGTTTATCGCACAGTACCCTAGACGCACTTCTCCACTTACACCATCTCACCTTAATCCTATGGGCCACATCCGCGTCAATCTCCCTTGCTGTTGTGATAATCAACCCTATACAACGAAAATGTTCACTCTTAGGCAGTTCTTGATTCTCAATCTTCACTTCTTTGCTTTCATTGTTACTGTTACTAAATTTATACTCTATGTACTCTGTCTTAGTTCTGTTTATCCGGAATCCTTTAGATTCAAAAACTTTTCTCCAAATCTTCAACTTTGTGATAACTCCTTCTCTAGTTTCATCCACTAGCACAATATCGCCTGCAAAAAGCATACACCATAGCACGTCATCCTGAATATTTTTTGACAACTCATCCATAACTAAAACAAAAAGATAAGGACTCAAGGTAGATTCTTGGTGTAACCCTACAGTAATAGAGAATTCATTTGTCTCTCCAGCAGGCGATCTAATAGTGGTCACCACCCCTTCATATATATCCCTAATCACATCAATGTAACCTTTTGTCACCCCTTTCTTCTCTAACACCTACCATATTACATCTCGGGACACTCTATCATATGCTTTCTCAAGGTCGATAAACACCATATGAATGTCTCTTTTCTTTTCTATTACTATCCTCAAAAAATAAATCGCTTCCACTATTGACCTGCCAGGCATAAACCCAAATTAATTCTCTGACACCTCTGTTATATCTCGCAATCGGCGTTCCATCACCCTCTCCCACACTTACATTATATGACACATTAGTTTGATTCCTCTATAGTTGTTACAATTCTGGACATCTCCTTTGTTCTTATAGATTGGCACTAAAATACTCTTCCTCCACTCATCTAGCATGCTTCTAGTCAACAAAATTTTGCTAAACAACCTAGTCAACCAAGGAATCCCCTTTTTACCCAAACACTTTCACACTTCAATAGGGATATCATCGGGTCTTAAAACCTTATTTGATTTCATTTTCTTAAGTGCAATCTCCACTTCAAAATTCCTAATCCTGCGATAGAACCTACAGTCTTGGTTTATCGTATTACTGGCTATTTCTTCTCCTTTTGTCGTACTTCCATATTCCTCATTTAACGCATGCCATATTATTCTATAGAATTTAGATATGAAATCTTCAACCCTCTCAATAACATTAGTTCATTGCTAAAGGCTAACACAGATGGATTTAGGCATATTAATTGGACTCATACTGTAATTCCCTAAACATACAGTGTTTGAAGAGTCTTCAGAACTCCAATTTTAGGAGATAAGATTCCAGAAAATCCCATGGACGTCAATGATCTGCGAAAAAATAAGAGACATGATTAGATACCAGATATAAATTCGAAGATTGGCAGCTAAAGAGCGAAGACTTGATTCGTACGCCATGACTTGCACTGAAATGCTAGCAACATTATAGTAGCGCACATATCAAGGTCTGAAGGTAAAAATAAAAAAAATAAAAAATAAAAAACAAAGCATTACTTACACAGAAACAACATTATTGCTGATACAACTAACTTTGGACCAAGTGCATGGACTAACTTGATTTGGATTCCAATCCTTGAGCTGATCAACTGAAGCATTCAGTGATTTCCTCAATGCATAGAGGGCATCCCCTGAAACAAACCTCATGATTGTGAACCATCAAATTAATGTATCACCCAAAACCAATGAGAATTACAAATTAAATTCTGGAAACATAGGTACAATCAAACATAAGAGGTGCCAATTTCCCGCAAACATAAGAGTAATAAATCCCATCTAATAGCTAATCTCATTATGTGCTACCACATCACCAAAAGGTGCCAATTCCCCACAAATATGTATTTTGAAACACATTTCCCAAAACATGGAACAAGTCATTCAAGAACATAAAATTTACAGATTCAAAAGCAAATTACTCTTGGTTCTTCCGCTTTATGTTCATATTTTATGAGAAGAATAGAAGGAAGGAACTATAGCACCAAACAAGGACCACATAAATAGAACACACTATTTAATTCTTACACGTATTGAATTTCAATAACAAATTCCAACAAAGTAAATGGATAGTATGTCCATTTTGAGGACAAAACTTTCATTGTAGGTCTCAGCTTGCAACAGCACCTTGGAAAAGAACAAAAGAGAGGTGTGAGCACGTTCCGCAAAATAGGAAACTAAATCCTAATAGAAAAAGAAACTAAAATCCTAAAAATAAGAAACCAAATATTACTAGGGTCCTAATTAAACTATAATAAAAATAAATAAACATAAATATTAAAAATAAAATTATAAAATACAGAAAATTTTCATGCCAAATTTAGAACGTGCATGTTCTGCATCATAGTGTAATCAAATTCCTTCATGGAGAGAGAGAGAGAGAGCAAGGAAGCAAATTATCATGTTATGGTACGAGAAATTACAATATCTTATTAACGATGATGGAGATACCATTAAAATGAAGTAACAATGCATAAACATCATGAATTAAAGTGTTAGATGAACATCATACCTTGTGCATCAGGTGATACAAAAGAATGCAAGCATGCCAATATAAGAGCAGCAAAAGCTAACTCCATCCCAAAAGACATAATTTTGTCCAGGTTGAAACTTTATTCCCAATTCTCAATGCAACAAAATGTGTAGCTTTCTTTGAATACACAAGTGAGCACCATCTCTGCAAAACATTCCATCATCACATTAAAAATGAATCATGTATAATAAAAATGTTACATTAAACTAAGTTCAAGATTACCATTTTTGTTTAGCAAGCATGCCAATATAAGAGCAGCAAAAGCTAACTCCATTCCAAAAGACATAATTTTGTCCAAGTTGATACTTTATTCCCAATTCTCAATGCAACAAAATGTGTAGCTTTCTTTGAATACACAAGTGAGCACCATCTCTGCAAAACATTCCATCATCACATTAAAAATGAATCATGTATAATAAAAATGTTCCATTAAACTAAGTTCAAGATTACCATTTTTGTTTAATACTGCTCTAAATTTATGTTCAAAATTATAATCAGCAATCTCTCATAGATGTCTCCTTGTTTCGTAGATTTGGGTTACCCAAAACTTTTTAGTTAGTAATTTATATAAGATAATGAGCTGAGTTTTGGAAGTGGGAATGTTCTGGTGACAAGCTAAGCCAATGCCTAGTACCAGTGTTTCTTCTTCAGGACGATCTCACACTCAAACTAGCCCAATTGACAACCCTACAGTATGTACAATGCACCAATCTCAACCGCATTGCACACCCCTATAGCACCACCCCAAACCATACACCAATAGTGGAATCCTTGAACATCTCTCCACCTATAACCACAGGCCGAACATCATGACTCCCACAAATCAATAATTAGTTCACCAACTCATCAACACTACCATCAAACTCACCAGTCACCACTGCCATTATTAATCCATTCTAAATCACATTAATCCACCTTCCAACCATATTCTCATCCCCCACTAACACAACCACAAAGGTTGCCACACCCTGTTATGTTTTACTTTTTTCCTAGTTCACTTTCTAATTTCTCTTCCTAAACTTCTTTATACTCTTGAAACACATTCTCTCTCAACCAAGGTTCTGAAAAGCGGTTGCGGTCGCCGTAACGGTGGCGGTGACGCGGATGCGGTTGCAGGGTGTAAAGGCCGTAGTGTAACGGTTGCGGTAACCGGAACCGTGAATTTTTTTATTTTTTGCACAATTTGAAAAAAACTTACCGATACGCATGTTTTTTTTCCATGATCATATTTATTAGGTTAAAAATAAATATTAATCAATTTTTGTAAATTTTTAAGTATGATTCAATATATTTCATATTTTTAAATCACTATAAATTGAGTTTTTTGCATTTTATTTTAATAATTAATGACTTTATATTATACAAAAAATCAATCACTAACTATTATATATAAGATAAACAATGACAAAAGTAAGAGAATAAATAAGAACCTAAATATATATATATACATATTTTAACCAAGCCAAATAGATAATGACCACACTTATTATAATTATTATTTTCAAACAATATATAGATAGACACACACAAACAAAATGGTTTAGTGATAACAGCTAAATAGAATAACATAGATCTTACAGTTTCAACAAATCAATAACATGTTCTTCATCTTCTCTCTTCTCTCTCTCTATCTCTTGCTCCTCCATTTTCTCTCTTTATCTTCTCTCTTCTCTCTATCCCTCTTCCCCCATTTTCAGTTTTTTTTTTTGTGTGTTTTTTTGAAAGAAACAGTTTGAAACCGTTACATAACGGTGCGTAACAGGCCGTTACGACTGTTACGGCACCATTACGACCGCTACGGCCGACACAACTGTGAATCTCAATCACACTGCAAAAGCGGCCGTAGCGGGTGGTGGAAACCGCCAAAACCGTTACGTAACGGTTGCGGCCGCTTTTTAAAACCTTGCTCTCAACTCTCCATTTTCCTTCTCTACTTCCTCTCCTAAATATCTCTACTTTCTCTACAATATCTTTCTGAAGTCAAACCTCTTTAAACCTCCCTACTTTTTTCCAAAAACTTCTATGTTCAATCACTCTTCTTTAGTGTCCAAAGTCATGGGGCTATTTCTACCCCAAATCACTAACAGCTTTTCTTGCTAACCTAACCACCATATTCTATGACCCCCTTAACCAATCACAACCAGAGCCACCACTACATCAAACCATTGCCTCCATTTCAACCTTCTCCATTTTCCAGCCACTACTCGCCCTCTCATTGTCTCATTATTTTCCATAATTTAATCCTCAAACCCACAAATCTAGAACAGCATCAAAGAAAAACCCAAAGTGATGTAGGTCATACAAAATTTATAAAATTTGGCACTAGCTTGGGTTATTTTTTGGGGTTCTTCTTCACATAACATAACAAAAGAGAATTAGAGATGACTAGTAGTAATAGTAAGCAATGTTAATTAGACTTACTGATCCTATAATCACAAATGATTTATGGCCTCCTGTGGCACTAATGTTCATCTTCATCTTTTTCAACAGCCATAGTATTTAAGCAAAAAACATGTCCAACAGTAAGAACAGACAAAATATAGTCTTTTCCTTGTAAAGAAGTGCAATTTCATGTTTTTACTATCAATCCATTTTGAAAGTAGGTCAATGTCATCAATTTGGAATATCACTTAGCTCCTTCAAAATCACCAGAATATTCACCAACACCTATTCGTAAACTTCAATGAGTTCTGCCTATACAGAGGAGGCTTCTTCAGAATTATCAGATCATTCATGATGATAATTCTGAATCAAACCTCGAAGCTGTTGAACCTGATGCTTCACCAGAAGGCCCAGAACACTTATGATGGTGGTGGCAGCTTCGATTGGCAGAGGAAGTTAAGGGAGGATTCGACAAAGGGTTTTGCTCAATGAAGTCACTGGACCAAAAAACAACCATCTTGGCTGAGCTCATTTGCTACAGGAAGGAAACAGCATTTTTTGACCAGGAGTGAGTGAGTGGGTATAACAATAACCTACAAATGTATTTAGGAACATACAATTCTTCCTATGTTAACCCAATAAATCCAAAGGAAACAGATCAGATCTTGAATCCATTTAGCCCATGAATTAATACATCTATAACTATTAATTTCTACAACAAGAGGTACAAAAGACAGAGATATGAGTGCCGCAAATTCAAATTCATTAAACCAACAACCAAATGAAATACAAAACCAACCAAATCATTAAAAAGCACAGCAATTTAAATCTCCAGTGACACATAATCTAAAGAAACAACCAAATGAAATACAAAACCAACCAAATCATTAAAAAGCACAGCAATTTAAATCTCCAGTGACACATAATCTAAAGAACACACAGAAACAGAAACAGAAACAGAAACCACGTGTTTCTACCAAACAATCACAAAATTACACATACATACATAAAAATATATATATATATATATATATTTAATTGAACAATTTAAGGAGAGGATGAAGAAGGAGAAGAAGAAGAACCTTGGAGAAGTATCAAAAAGCTAGGGCTTTTGGTGAGATTTTAATTGGTCTCTTTTAGAAAAATGTGAATGTACTGTAAACGAATCTAGACAGAAGCTTCTTTTCTTCTTTATTGTGGAAATTTGATGGAATTGAATGGAAGCTCAGCAATAATTACTCTCTCTCTCTCTCTCTAGACTGGAAAAATGGGAGTAGTGGTGGTGGTGGGCCAACTCCAATTCTACGAGTGAAGAAGCATGCGTTTCTCACGGAACAGAGGTCCTGCTGTCTTCAAATGTGACTGCGGTGCCTTTTGTTGGAGGTGTATTATGTTTTATTTTTATGATGTAAATCGGCGTATTATAAGGTTTATTAAGTACTTTGTATCTATTAAAAATTATATTAATTAGATATTAATAATTAATTGATCGAATTATATATTGTTTATGCTATTTTTTAAAAGAAAAATTTATTATTTATTTTATTAGTTATCGATCATATAATTATTGATATTGAATTAAAATAATTTTTAATAAGAATGAAATACTTAATAAATCTTACAAAATAAACGATTTAAATAATAAAAATAACATCGTAATACAACTTAAACAAAGGCTCCCATCACTGCATTGCTTTGAGCACAAAAGCGACCCTTTTACGTTTCTCACGGGAGGTTTGGCGCCTTTTTGGTAAGAGAAACGACTGCGAAATTCTTCTAGTAAAACAACAATGCAGTCAACTTTAGAAGGCCCTTTCACCCTTCTGAATTACATAACTGCCATTATCATGGATATGATTTTTATTCCCAAATTGTTAGGTTGTGGCTGATAAAAAATATATAAAAATAAAAATAAAAATTGTGAGGTAGTGGTTGAAGCTCTCCATTTATTTTTATTTTTTTATTTTTAAATTGGTCCCCAAATGATAATAAAAAAATGAATAAATTACGCATTGCTTTTTCTTTTCTTTTTTTATTTTTGATCACCTTTTTGTTTTGACTCTTACAGTTTTTATTTTTTATTTTGAACTTTTATATTTTAAGTTTTTTCTCAATGTTATTTTTAAAGTTCATTTTTATTCAAAATTTTATAGATAATGGCACGTTAACTGTCACATGATATAAAATATATTGTTATATTTAGATATAAATTTGTGTTAGAAGTGTGAGTTATATAACAAAATATTTTTTTATACCATGTGATTATCAATATGTTATTTTCTGTCTAATTTCAAAAATAAATTAGCTTTTAGAGGAAATAAAAAAAATATGAAAAAGGCAAAGTGAGAAAATAAAATCTTCAAATATCAAAATAAAATTTAAACAAAAAAAAAAAAGACCAAGCATTAAGAGGTGTTTGTTTTAAAAGATTTGAGGTAGCGAATTGGTCTCCATGTCCAATCCACCATGAATTCCATTGTTTTGGTTAAGAATTTGTAGGCCGAATTAGGAGTTCCATCAGATTATAGATCACATATACGTTGAACTATTGTGTCCAGGGGATGTGGATTGAAATAGTGGGATTCAAATCCCATGAAATTAAATTGTAAAATGATACATTTGCCCTCCAATTATTTGATTTTTTTTGTAAAATTAGTAAAACATAAAAATCCACCATGAAATCCATTGTTTTGGTTAAGAATTTGCAGGTCGAATTAGGAGTTCCAATAGATTATAGATCACATATACGTTGAACTATTGTGTCCAGGGGATGTGGATTGAAATAGTGGGATTCAAATCCCATGAAATTAAATTGTAAAATGATACATTTGCCCTCCAATTATTTGATTTTTTTTGTAAAATTAGTAAAACATAAAAATCTCAATTAAAAAATGAAACAGAATAAAATTATTTAATTTTTATTAATGTTTATTTATTTAATTTTTAAAATAAATTTTTATAGATTTTTTATGGATCATTTTTTTATAAAT